GGAGATACTTCGTAATCTTGACTGGAGGCGCAGGAACGAGGGGTTGTCGTGGAGCAAAAGCCTGCTTGAGTGCTGGATCAGTTGACAGGACCTTCTTAGCGCCCAAGTCAGCAGTTTTGGCCGGCTCAAGTGGCTTGTAAACGTTATCGATACAGTGATGGATTATGCGATGAAGACCATCGGCAACTTCCGGGTGAGGGTAGGCGATTTTAGGGTAATTGCCAAACAAGAATGCGATTTCCGGCAAAGAGCCCGCTGCAAGCAGGGCGTTTAGAAGGGCCAATTTTTGGTTTCTCGGCTTCATCGGAGGGGCAGGTGGCTCCTCGGGCTTAGCTTCTTCCTCAGGTTTCTTCGTCTCAGCCGCCGGCGCTGGCCCCTGACCAGGTCTCGGAGGAGGGACGGTATCATCTGGGAGAACGCTTGCCATCATGAGGGCATTCATGGCCCCGGATCTGCCTTTGGAATCATTCTCTTTGAGCCATTCGTTGTAATCGTCCTTCATAGCTGCGTCGTCAGGCGCTAGATGAGGATACAGGTCTCTGAACGAAATAAAACCGATCTTGAGTAGAATAGCCGTCATTGCTACAAGATTGTCGGGAAGCTGATGCGAGGGACTGTCCAAGTCAAGATCTTTCATCATGTAAAACTTGAACTTGTACCCGATGACCTGTGCGGCGACCTTGTTCCCACCTCGTCGAAGAAGAATGTCGCTACCGTCTGGAAGCTCACAGAGAGCTTTAAATCCATCTCGCTCAAGTCTGTCGAAAAAATCGTCTTCCTGGTACAGGGGGCCATCGATTGAAGGGGCATCCTTCGGCCACCACTCGCTCTCACGAAGCAATTGAACGAAGAAACGCCAGTTGGCAACGACACCGTTAGCAAATATATCGAGGATGACGTCAAGAGCGCGATTGGGGTCGAGATCAAAGCATCCTATCAGCGATCTGACTTTGTCGAGTGTTTCTCCAACACGGTTGAGAGGACCCGGTCCGTACTCGGCCATAAAAACTTCGGTGATTAGCTTTGCAAAACCCTCTGTTTCTTCACGCGACAGATTGTACTTCTGAACTCTGTAAAGAATATTTGTATGGACTTTGACTTGTCTACCCTTGAAGGAGGAACTGACCAAACCAAGTGCCATCAAAAGTGTGTCTTGGAGTTGTAAACGGGCTTCACCGATCCCGATGTAATCCGGTATGAGGGGAGAGACCATTGCTGTGAGACTGGGATGTTGGTCGTAAAGAGGAAGTGTGTCAAGCAGGATGTCAGTAATTTTGAGCTGAGTGGTTCCGTTTGAAACGGCCTCTCGGTTAGCTTTGATGGCGTCGATAAGGACGTTAGCAGCTAGGATTGGTGCAATTCTTCCATCAATGCCGGCATATAAGACCTCCTGGACTATCATTGTAGGCTCCTCGTAGACATTGGTCATGGCTGCCGTGGTGATCTCATTGACGACTTCCATGTGTCCGGTTGCAGACCAAGCTTCTAATCTTGCCGGTGTGATCCATAGATAGCCTCGTTGGACTCCAGCGGAGGGATTGACTTCGGGAACGGAAGGAGTAGGTGGTGCCATCTGCATGACGGGTGCCGGTGCCATACGTGGTGGAGGGGCGGGTGTCGGAGTGGAGGGTGGTTGGAAGGGTTGCTGGACGGGTCGAGGAGACTGAGTATTGGACTGGGACGAACCCGGTCTCGGCGGTTGTGGTCTGCCAGATGGTGTACCACGTTCACCAAAATTCGAGCCACCTCGGCCTCTATTGTTGTTGTTCTGGCTGTTGCGACGGTTTTGATTGTTATCCTGGTCCCTTGGAGGGGGCGGTCGTCTTTCGTGACCGGGTGAAGATTGGTAGTGGTCACCACCACTATGGCCTCGTTTGCGCTTACCACCACCGGGTGCCATCTTGAGGAATTAGTGAATTAGATTGTGAAGTTGTGTGTGAGCTTATCAGAGATTCTGCGACGGAGAAACGTTGCAGGGGGTTGTGGGTGACGTCGTCTCGCGACGTTGCTCGGCGTTATCAGATGTCTGGTTGTTGCCCGTTGCCCGTTGCAAGAAAAAAGCAAAAGTTTGGGTATCTTAACGGATTGAAGGCAGGAAAGAACGGAGCAGATGCGAATGCGAATGCGAGTGTGATGATGAGTCTATATCATTCCGAGGAATTGAAGAAGGGAGGTCCCAGACCGTTAGTTGATGAAAAGAATCGAGGATGACGGATGAAAGATCGTAAAGAAAAGAAGCCTCCAGGACCAGAGCAGGATCAAGACCAAGACCAAGGGAAGAAGGGAAGACTGCAAAGAAAAAAGACCAGGTCGTCAGCCACATATCGTTCCCGCGTGGACGGACGAGGTGATGATGATGATGATGATGATGATGATGATGATTGAATAGATGGGTAGATGGGAGGTCGACGAACCAAACAGTTGCGATGGAGGTGAATGTGTGCTTTTTGTTAGACGAGCAATCGCAAAGAGAAGAGGAAGACAAGGCAGACGCCGAGATAAGGACGAAGCAGGATGAATTCGAGGGTATCGAGAGAGACGAAAGCAAGGATAAGAGCAAGAATCGGATTGACGATAGGGGGAACACCTATCGAGTGAAGCTGATGGCGGTGGTGAGAGGTTTGTCACAATGGCGAGGTTGATGAGGTTGATGTTGGAGGGAAGGATGATGAGGGCGGATGGATGGTGTTTTGAGGTTGGCCAATCCGTTGCAGTTTCCGCCTGTCGCGTTTCCTGAGGTGTTGATCACGTGACAACGCAGCAACACATCAACGCAGCAACTCATTCATTCATTCAGACCGATCTGATTAAGTATCTAAGCTACTAAGTATAAGTTGCTGAGTATTTAGATCCCTTTAAAAATCCCCGATCTTTGTATACTATTTTATAGTATACAGGCAGCATTCAAACGTGCCTGCACAGAAGCAGAATTCCTCGATGTGCAGGGTCAATTACGGGATTCGGCTGTCTTGTGGCTTCTCAGTGTGGCTCAGCCACGTGACGCCGCCATCCGCCATCCTCTCGAGCTCAACACAGCTCAACGCAGCTCAGCTCCCCACGCAAGTGCGCTTTGAACCCCTCCATCCCCCATCCACCCCATCCACCTCATCTCATCCCGATCCTGCTACATCGACTCACAACATTACCACCACCGTCCTACATCCTACATCCTACATACATACAAGCACGTATACTGCTACTCTATCATCTTCTTATACATCTTCGGTATCTCTGGCTAGTAGCTAACGATATACTGGTTGCCTTCAAAAGTAGCACTTACCAACCCCACCAAGCTCAAAGGCTCCAAACGGTCAACCATGGCCGCCACCGTCCGCTCCCTCTTCTCCGACCTCCGCGACCGCATAACCCCTCCAACTCACACTTCAACCTTTCTCACAACCGGCAAACTCACCCCTGAAGAATTCGTCTCCGCCGGCGACTACCTGGTCTACAAATTCCCAACATGGTCATGGTCCTCCGCTGCTCCCGGAAAAGCCAAAACTTATCTCCCTCTCGACAAACAATTCCTGGTCACAAAGGGTGTTCCCTGTCATCGTAGATTAGACGACAACTTTGCCGGGTCCGCTGGATTAAATGACCGAGTTGTTGAAGGTGCCGAAGGTGGAGATGATGATGAAGGCTGGCTGAGTACCGGTGTTACCAAGAATGAAGAGGAAGGAGCGTCCACTGCCAAAGACGTCAGAACGGTCGACGATAAAGGAAGGGTCGAAGAGAACGATGATACAGAGAGCATAGGTGACATGGAAGATGAGGAAGACGACTCCGAAGCCATCATCAGAGACGGTGATAACACCAAGACGTATGTCACCCACCCGCTGTCCTACCTCTACTGCCATAAACAGCCGTAAAAGTAGGATTACTAACGATAATACAGACCACTACGAACATACACCCTCTACATCACATACTCAACCTATTATTCCACCCCGCGCCTCTACCTCTCCGGTCAACACGGCTCCACATCCTCACCGCTCACCCACGCCGAAATGATGCAAGACATCGTCGGCGACTACCAAGACAAAACCGTCACGATCGAAGAATTCCCCTTCCTCGACGGAAACCTCAAAATGCCTTCAGTCCACCCTTGCAAGCATGCCAGCGTCATGAGACTGCTATTAGACAGAGCCAACGCCGCTGCGAAGGCGAAGAAGAGAAGAGAAGCTGAGGCTGATAAAGGTGCTGAGAGCGGCGGCGAGACCAAGGAGGAACGAGAATGGGAGGAAATCGATTACTCGAAGACGCTAGCTGAAGCTAAGGAGGAAGAGAGCGATCAGCAGGGCAAGGCCGAAGGAAAGGCAGGAAATCCAGATGACGAGGCAATCAGAGTACGTCTATTCCACACCTCTAAAATGGCAAAAAATAAACACTAACCATCTTCCAGGCCGATCAATACCTCGTTGTTTTCCTAAAATTCATGGCAAGTGTAACACCTGGCATTGAACACGACTATACTATGGGTCTATAATTCTCTCCTCTACTTTTGCTTAAACAACCTAGTTCTTTAGTGTTTCGCATAATACTGTTTTCAAGTTGTTCGGTGTAGCTTTTTTTCTTTTCTTTTCTGGGCAGGCATTCTTATTTCACGGGAAGGGAATAGGAAAGCGCGCGGTGTCATGGAGAATTCGGTTTATGTATGAATTGCAGTCCTACCCAGAGTAGGGTCCGGGACTTTAGGATGAATACAATTAGATGCTCAGATCGATCATTAATTCATAGCCATTCCTCGGTATCTATAGATATATCCAATTGCGAATCCACGTACCCATCCGTGGCCTCGTAGCCAAAATTTCTTCATTATACTTACATGCTAACTACTAACTACTTAAGTAGTCAGCGGTCATGACTTATTCCAAGCATCATCGTGGATAAAGTGTGCAGAGTTGCATTTTAAGCCTCCCAAAAAGGTAATCTGGACCAGACCACCGATCCGGCCAGATATAGTAGTGCCAAAAATATTAAAAAGAAAAATTAAAAAAGAAAGGAGCGACCGTGGATTGAACACGGGACCTTGAGATATTAGCCTGAGGACTGCAATCTCCTGCTGCACAAATTGTTAGTATGGTGTTTTATCGAGACTGAGATTGGGAGGATGTGGTTGTTTTACCTCTACCGCTGAGCTATCACTCCGAACTGAGGGATTCTCGATGGCCGTTTCGCACCGGATTGTGGTTATAAGTACTTGATCTCTCTGGATAATATGTCAGGTGTACCTGTTATTTCTAGATTCTATTGCTAAGGAATTATCCTGAACGCATTTCTTGCCCGTCTATTCAACTAGTGTCTCTTTGAGTAGGTATACCGGGAGAATCTGAGCTGTCTTGTAACTGTGTCTTGAAGCCACACACGCACGGCCCGAAAGCCCAGTACCCTGGAAAGCTTGTTTCTGCCCACTCCAACCAGGTGCACTGTAGCTGGTAGTTACTTGACCAAGCTCGTATAATAGGAAGTGGTTGTAAGTATGTACTCGGAGCACGGCTTCTTTCGTATCCGCTGCTGCGCTTCGTATTAAAACGGTAATTCGTATTCAATGTCTCCCCTCAGATGCAGCGTGAATTAATGTGGATGCAAAGTGAAGGTGAAGGTGACAGTGACGGTGATTAAGTTTGAATTGACAGGCCGGGTTTTCGCTGTTTGTCTGCCCGATTTGTCTAAGCACTAGCTTCGAAGAACCTGCATTGCATCCTGTCTTGAGTGGTGGTGGTGGTGGTGTTTGACCTGCTTCATACATCGTGTAGGAAACAATATACGTTATGGGTGGTATACTACGTATGCGTATGTAGATGTCGTTGATAGAATAGAGGTGCTTGGATAGATGGATAGATAGAATCATAGAGTGATAGTGCGGAGAGGATTCTTTGCGACGTTACGGCTTCAACCTCACTTCAACCTCACCTCAACATCATCTCGACCTCATCTCAACCTCATCACAAACCCCAATCAGCTTCAGTACCGACATATAGCTACCTGCGAAGTAACCACCACCATCCTCACCGATGTGATAAAGACACTAAATCGGCCTCAGTTCAGCCGTCCCAAGCTACCGTGCAAGGCTGCCGTCCGCCGTCCCACAAGGCAGTCTGAGAAAAGACCCCGCCCAGACCACACTCCAGTCTGTTCTGGCTGTTCGTCCGTGTCACAAACGTCAGCCGTTTCGTTTCGATTTACCCAGCTGCCGCAGCTGCCATTCCGTCGCCTCTTCTTATCTCCCCTTCCAACTTCTCCGACTTCCTTTGTCCCTTCGACTTCAATGCTTAGACCTGCCCGATCGTAGCCCGTGCATGTTCTGCATGGCCTTCTGACCTTCTTCGGACGAGCCTCTCCGGTTTACCGAGCCGGCTTGGTTTCTAAAGCCCTCAAATCGTTAACGTTACCTTACGTTTAACTTACGTTAGCCGTCGACGGCTTTTCCTTTTGAATCTACTTATCCTATCCTGGCTTCATCTACGGCTTCAATTCTTTCATCATCCATCAGTTCGGCATCAACTAGTTTCAAAATACGGCTATCAACCCACGTACGGGGTGCGAAGCACAGAAGATCTTATAGCTAAGTCGGTGCTTGAGCACTGCGAAACAGCAGGATGTCCGGCTCCACAACTTCTTTGACCGGCTCCATTCCATCCATCACCACAACCATCTCCGCTCCCGAACCTACCTCCGGCTCTCCCATCTCTCGCGCAATCTCCAAAGCCCGAAAGAAGAAATCTTCCCAAAACCTCTCCATCTCTGAAACCACAAATCAATCCACCGCCAGCCTCTCCTCCAATGAAAATGGTTCTATCAAATCAAGCACCAGCTATATCGACAAGATACGTAAACGTCGCGCGGAACGTAAAGAACGAAAAGAAGCCTTAGAAAATGGATTATCGCTAGATAACGGCAAATCCAGGAGCCGAAGAAATTCGGTTTCTGGCAGCTTTGAAAGCGAAGAGCATGATGAACATGATAGGTAAGATCTTCTTTCTCATTCGCTTGCGGTTCAAGCTAGACTGCTAGCATATCGTATATCGTATATGCTGCCGTCCCTGTCCGGACCTCAATCGGCTTGGGCCTTCCCAACTGAATTTAAGCATGAACATGCGGGGATATCGGGTATTTTGTCCTTGTTGGACCTCTCACGCAAGGGATCTGTTCCAAAGAAACAACTGAGACGTTGTTCCTGAGATTATCTCCTTGTTTCTGGAAGCAATGTTATGCTTCCAGATTTATATATATACGCAAACATCAATTCTTTCGACCAACCGTGATGGAATCAATTGATACTTTCTAGAAACTGGAAGCTGACTATGGCGAGCAGCACTATAACTTTCGAACCTGGCCTCGTAGCTCTCGACCCCGCCTCGAAATCCTTTGCCTCCACGCCCACCTTCCCGATCAGCATCTCCACATCCTTCGAAGACCCCTCGCAATCCTCACGAACCACACAGCTCCAAGTTACTCCCGATGGTCGTCCTATTCGACGTTCTACATCTCCAGCTCACTCTTCAGGTTCCCGTGATTCCTCGCCATCCCCCGCAGGTGGTTCTTCAACACCGACATTGGCATCTGGAATAGTCCTCGGCAATATCCTCGGCATGAAGGGCAGAAAACGCTCCGACAGCGCCACGAGCAACGCTTCCGGCTCCGGCACCGAAGGCACCCCTATCCCCCGCTCTGTACCAATCCTCCAACCAAAAACCACCCCTTCAACATCTATTTCCACAGACGCGGCCATAACAGTCACTAAACCCGACACGGTCGTCACCCCTCCCACTCCAATCGAACCCACCGCCCCTGTCTCAGCCGCAACAAATATAATTTCCCGAAGAGCAAGAGGGTCAAGCATTAGCAAGCTTCCCAGTAAGCTCTCACACTCCTCGCTTCCAGAAGAAGGCGGCGTCGGCACAGCGGCGGGAAGTTTCAAACCCCTTACTCCGACCATTGAAGTCCCCACTCCACAACCAACACCCACCGTCGGCACATCCACAAACGCAGCTAATAATGCCAACGGAGCCAATAATGCATCTGGCTTCTTCTCCAACATGTTCTCTGCTGCACAAACCGCTGCGTCGCAGTTGAGCAGTACTATTGCCAACACTTCGCTCGCGCCGGGTGCTAAGGGGACTAAAAAAGAGACAGGTAGCATTAACGGCGCGACAATTCCTAGCTCTGGAACTCCTGGAGATATTTCGACTTCAGCGCCTGGTACGCCTGGAAAGGTTAACCCAGAAGACAAAGATCGCAAACCGCTTGCCGTGGAAACGTTAGGACAGGGAGAATTGAGCTTGGGTTCTTTGGGGATCACAACCAGCGACGGAAGTGGACGGGAGAGAAAACGAAGAAGCAGGCCGAGCAGCGCATCTGGTCTTGAAATGCCAGAACCGGCAGTCTTACACGGCCTCGGCCTGACGGGTGAGAAGGAGGAGGAGATCGGTTCAATCCCAAAGAGCGCGGGCGGCGTACTGGGTGAAAAGAGCTTTGATACCGTCATCTACGAAAATCGCCCCGGTGCAGGTACACCATCACAAATAAACGACGAGGCCGACTCCGTAGGATTGGGCCGGCAGCGAAGCGACAGCGGAAGATCGATACTAGGACGTCACGGAAGCAAGAAGCGCAGGGAACGAGGAATCAGCACGGCTACACAGGGAAGCGACTCGCTAACCTCCACACCCGCTCTCGCCGGCCGCGTCGCAACATTCGCCCCAGCGACCACCAGACGCAACCGCGACTTCCACACCCTCTTCAAGACCGTTCCTATAGACGATAATCTAATTGAAGACTACGGCTGCGCTTTACAGAAGGAAATCCTACTTCAAGGAAGAATGTATGTGTCTTCTGGTCACATATGTTTCTACTCCAACATTTTCGGATGGACCACCACCCTCGTAATCTCATTCGATGAAATCGTAGCCATCGAAAGGAGGATGACGGCGTTGGTTATTCCGAACGGTATTATGATACAAACCCTACACGCAAAAAATGTGTTTGCATCATTCATCAGTCGAGATTCGACTTATGATTTAATACTTGGGATTTGGAGGACTATCCATCCGAATTTGATAGATACATTGAATGGTACTAGACTTGGAGATAAGGAGGAAGGGGTCAGTGAAGGTGCAGATGAGGATGAAGACGGGAGCGAATACGATGAGGACGATGAGTACGACAGTCTTGGGGATGAAAGTGATCTGGACGTTCCATCTGCAACAGAGGCACCGGCGATGACTAAATCTGTGTCGAAGAAGACTTCCACACCCGCCGTTGGAGGTGGGGGAGTTACTTCTCCTGCCGTAGCGAACGGGAGTGCAGATGCTGGAGCGGCGGATGGAGTATTCCCTGGCCCAACGGCACACGCACCTACCGTCTGTGGCGACGAAGCTAGCCATCTTGACCGCCCGTTATGCGACGAAACAATTGCCGTTCCTCTTGGAAAATTATTTTCGGTCATGTACGGCGAATCCTCACTCCAATTCCTAACCCGCCTGCTCGCCGAAGACTGTAAAGTCGAAAACCTATCCATCCCCGGCGGCGCCAAATTCGTAGACGGAGGAAACCCAGATTACCCCGGTAAAAAGACCCGAAGCTTTTCATATATTAAACCATTAAACGCTAGTATTGGCCCCAAGTCGACGAAGTGTTTGATAACTGAAGTTATTGAGGCAGAGGATTTGGAGAAGGCGGTGACGGTGGTGACGTATACGCAGACACCGGATGTGCCTAGTGGTGGGGTTTTTAAGGTTCTTACTAGGACTTGTTTGATGTGGGGTGAAGGCAATGGGACGAGGATTGTGGCGAATTGTACGGTTAAGTGGAGTGGGACGAGTTGGATTAAGGGTAATAGCCTCCCTTGTAATACATATATCGTAGTCATGCTAACGGGTTGAATAAACAGGACCTATCGAAAAAGGCGCCTCAGACGGACAAATCGGCTACACCAAAGACTTGCTCAACGCCCTCCGTCGCGAATTCGCACCTAAGAAAGTCGCCGCGGCCGGTGGGAAGGGCAAACGCAAGAGACGAGCAAGCCGAGACGCCGGTTCTGCGGCTGCAGCTGCAGCTACGGCACCCGTACAGTCTTCCGCTGCATCCGCGGCTCAGAAGTGGGGCATCCTCGCACCGGTTATGGAACCCGTTACCTCTTTAGTTGG